AATTCATTGACGCTCTTCAATGGACAGCGCTAAACCTGGCAGCACATATACTTACTTGCAGGCAACCCACCAAAATAAAAGCTAGCTAATTTAATTTTGAAAATGATTAAAATTCAAGTCAATATTAGCATTTTATTTTTAAGTTTACTATAAAATAATTGTATTTTTATTTAATGCTCCCTTTTTATTTTAGAATATAGGGTACAACGGGGCTAAAGGCCCACCTTAAGAAAAAATGTGCCATTCACTGCGCCTAAGGAGAAAAAGTAATTTAAGGCAGTTTAACATAAGGCAGCAACATAACAAAATGTGAAAAAATAAAGGGGTAGGAATACTTTCGCAAGGCAATGTAAACATATTACAAACAACAAACAAAGAGTGCTTTCAGTATTTAAGATTATCTGAACGTTTTCCATTCAAGAACTGTGAGTGATTTTTCTTCATCTTTACTGTTGTTTTTTACTATGACATCATAGACAGCGGGAGCTCTATTAAGCTGCATTCATGCCCGGATCTCTTTTGAAATATACAAAGTAATGTGGTTTGTCCTGTCCGTTTAATCCCTTAAGACATAACTGGCTGTGTTTACATTAATTTTGCGTCATAAAACCATTTTGAGAGTCACGCACAGCCGCATGCGCGAGCAGTCTTCACAAACAAAGCGCGTCAGCATTTGAAATTGAAAGCAGCCTTCTGTTAGTTAGGTTCATATTTTAAATATATAAGTCCACTGCATTCCAAACCACATAAATGATGACTTCGTAGAACATTTGTAAGGAAAATACCATGGGCGAGACTGCACACTTCAAGTGAAACATCAAACAAAGCGCGCGTCTCTCACAGCGCATCCTGTGCAATGAAGCCAGCGATATTATTTTAAGGAAGGTTCGAGTGGTGTATGTGTGTGAGGAATTAAAAGCAAGCAGAATATGGGTGTTTCTAAAGCAAACTCTGCGTCATCGCGCATCTGGTTAAAAATTAAGCTCAGAATCGATTCTGAAATTCTCAGAATCGATCCAGAATCGTTGGAGAGAGAATCGCGATGCATCGATGGATCGATTTTTCCTCCCACCCCTAGTCTATACAGTACATGCGTGCTTGTATGATTCCTTCTTCCTAAACGTCTCTGGGCTGTTGCGGTTTCCTGGTCCGTCGGACTTGGTTGCCACACCGCCACCCTCTCATTCGTCTCGCTGCCGTTCCTGACGGAGCCAATTTCGCCCAGCTCGCTGGTTCCAGAGCGTGAAAGTGGTTAGGAGGTGGCTTGCGTGCATGAAGGCACCAGCTGAACCCTCGAGCTTGCGGCACAGGGTTGGGAATCGATGGATTGATTTTTTTCTCCCACCCCTACTAAAATGTATAATTGCAGAAAAAATATATACGTTGTTTTGAACATTAATGGAGCAACATATTTTGTGTGAAAATAAATAAAGTTGTTTATTTTGTTTAAAAATCTTATAAATGAATGAGGTGGCATAAGGGGCCTTTTACCCCACACACGGGGTAAAAGGCTCACCAGCATGGGGTAAAAGGCACACGGTATTGATACAAATACTTTGTCAGACTCTGTTCCGTCTTTTGTGGTTGTTTTCCCCATGTGCCTTCCTTTCCCATGTTTAATTTGTCCCAGGTGTTTCCCTTGATTGTTTCATTTGCTCCCAGGTGTGTCTCGTCATCCCCTCCTCCTGTGGGTATAAACTCCGTTCCTTGCTCCTGACTCTGCTCAGCAGTGCACCCATGACATACTTCAGCTAAAATAATGTTTTTTTTTATATTTAATTTAGAATTTAATAAGTTAATACTTGTTCAAAACAATAACTTTAGCAAAGTTTGTACTATTTTCTGCTTATTTTGAAAAATAAAAGATTTTTTTTTCAATAAATATACTGTCATTAAAATATGTTAATATAAAAAAATATATTTTAAAATACAGAAACAAAATCTTTTAATAAGTAAAGATTCTGAAAGTATTGAAGAAGATCCAATAATAATTGAATACATATTTACAGTAGTAACAACAAATGATATTTTATTATATGATATGATTAATATCATATTTTTAAATATGATGGCGATTATCTCTAATATGGACACCCAACATAATATATGATATTTACCATCTGAATCTAACCATGCCATGTCAACAAATGATTATCTCTAATATGGACACCCAACATAATATATTATATTTACCATCTGAATCTAACCATGTCATGTCAACAAATGGAAAAGTCAGCCATCTATTAATTATCATGTTAATTACCGTGCGCCTTTAGCCCCAATAGCAGGGGTGCTTTTTACCCCAAATACCGTACTTTTACACATTCTTTCATTATTTAAAAACTGTTGCTTTAATTATCTCAAACAAAACTGAAAAACATAAATAAGACCTTTGTCTCAAAACATATGCATTAATTTGAGCGATTCTCATTTGCTACTTAAATCTACAACATTTTAAAAACATAAAATATTAGATCAAGTAAGCACAGAATCTACTTTGCACTGCTGCGCGCGTTCGCGTCAAGGATCAGACAAAAATACACGTGCATCTTGAAAAGCGGATGAAAGTGCTACGTCCCGTTTTTGTGCCATCTAGTGGTTTAGATGAAAATAATACCAAAGGCGCCTTTAGCCCCGTTGTACCCTAATAGTTTTATCACACTTTTTTATTTTGTTTATTATTTTCAACATCAATTGATTTTCCAGCTGCTGAATGGAAGAGAATGTAGAATTGCATATGCTCTCTGATCACAGGCGACGAGCCCTTCTTGGGCTCAGGCTTCTGGGGTCCAAGGACAACCTGTCCAGGTTATCTCTCTCTCTTGTCAAGGCACCTGAGAAATCAATACATCATGGGTCAGCGGAGTGATCCCAGCAAAGAGATTTTAGACTGATGGTGTAGAAATGAAGGGCACATCAAGGGCATGCGCACTCCTCTTTATAATTATTCCAGTCCAGAAGTGCCATTTTAGGGATGAGAACTGAAGTGTTTAGGGATGAGAACTGAAGGCCTTAATTGAGCTGGCTCTCATTATATTATCCTCAATCAAACTGAGAGATTTGTTTTCTATGGGATCATGTCCAAGCCTTAATTAGCCTGGATCAATGTGCCAAACTGGATGTGAGGAGGAGAATAGTCACGTATTTCAGCATTCCCACACACTCTTTGGTGTTAGGGCCACAGATTGAGGCGAGTGAGCAGATGAAATATCCATGCTGTTTAGGATTATTTAGACTAGATTATCCCAGACTTAATCTGCCTTTATTAATCCGGGGAAGATATTCTGGCATCTTTCCCTGGATTTCCAATCAAAATCACGCTAGGAGTCAGCTGACAGATTTATTGGATGCTGCTTTTCACAACAATGTGCCCTGCTGATAACCCTCTGTCTGTCTAGCTAATGTTCCCAAGTCAGTGCGTCATGGATATATTGAGGCTGGGTGCGAGAACAGAGGTTGTAAAGTTGTAGTTGGGCTCAAGTGGGTCCTCTAGCAGGGAAAAAGTGTAATGAAATACAAAATAAACAGATATTCAGGATAAACACAGAGTGTTCTTGCACTCAGACCCTCCAGCCATTTTGTGTCTGCCCACAAGGACAGAAGGACAGGACTATTAAATTGGCTCATTAATGTTTCAGCAGACTGCATTTGCACAGCAAGGGATCAAGGATTTGGAAGTGTTTCTTGGACATCATGAATATGTAAATATATGTATATATACAAATTGTAATATAAAAAATGTAAATCATGGATATATAGAAGTAAATCTGAATATATAGTTTTGAATATGTACTTATAAGTCTGTATAGATACAAACTGAATATATAAATGTAAATCATGAATATACTGTATGTATAGAGGTTAATCTGAACGTATAGTTAAAAGTCTGAATAAATAGAATTAAATCCGAAAATGTAGTTGTAAGTTTGAATATATAAATGTAAATTGTGAATATAGTTATTATTCTGACTAATTGTAAATCAGAATGTATATTTATAAATCTTGAGTATATAAATGCAAATCTGTATATACAGTCTACATCTCAACATAAATATATTTTTATTAATAGGCATGTCAATATAGGCAGATGTTCTATGTATCCTGTACATGTGTCAATGCAGATATTGTACTATATTAATTATTGTAATTATTGCTGTCCATCACATGCTGCTGCAATTATATAATTAAA